GACTCAGAAAGTGATTTCAGGGTTGTGAGATCCAGTCCTACATCGGGCTCTGCATGCAGCTCAGAGTCTGCTTGAGACTCTCTTGCCCTCTCCCCCTGCCCCTCCCCGCTGCATGTGTGCGCTCACTGTCTCTCAAAATAAATAAATAAACCCTAGATAGATAGATAGATAGATAGAAAAATAAATAAATAGTGTTTTTAAATAAAATTTACTAATGAACATATTAAGATCTATATTTTGAAGACTGTCTATTTGCAAATAGACTGATCCGTACTTGAGTGGATACAAACACTTGTTTCAACAAAGAAAGTTAACTGGGCAAAATAATTTCAGAATAGAAATAATATCTAAAGGCCAAAATGTAGTGCTCCAGTCAGTGCAAAATAGAACTATTGGTGAAAATGGTTTTCAGCGGCCTTAAGTTAGTCTGAAATCTTCAGGGAGTTAGTATTGCCCATTGGTGAAATGACTGGGTGCAGCCACTCTAGAAAATAGTATGGAGCTTCTTCAAAATGTAAAAATAGAACCACCCCACGGTCCAGCAATTATACTAATAGGTATTTACCCAAAGGATACAAAAATATTAATTCAAAGGAATACATATATCCTAATGTTTTTAACAGCATTATCTGTAAGAGCCAAATTATGGAAAAAGCACAAATGTCCATTGACTGATGAATGGATAAAGAAGATATGGCATATATATATATATATATATATATATATATATATATATAATGGAATATTATTCAGCCACAAAAAAGAATAAAATCTTGCCATTTGCAATGATATAGATGGAGCTAGAGAGTTCTATGCTAAGTGAAATAAGTCAGAGAGAGACAAATGCCATACAATTTCACTCATCTGTGCAATTTAAGAAACAAAACAAACAAGCATAAAAGAGAAAAAGGGAAAAAAAGAGAGAAAGGCAAACCAAGAGACAGACTTGCAACTACAGAGAACTGATGGTTACCAGAGGGGAGGCGGGTGGGGTTAATGGGTTAAATAAGTAATGGGGATTAAGGAGTGCATTTGTTGGGATGAGCCCTGAAAGTGCTGAATATTGAAGTCCTGAATCACTAAATTGTACACCTAAAACAAATATTACACTATATGTTTACTAGAATTTAAATAAAAACTTAAAAAAATAAATCTAATTAAATGGACAGGAAAAAAAAAAAGAAACAGGAAGATGCTGAAATCTAAGAACCAACCCTGTGGTGGTTAACTGGACCAACATAATTAAATGTTTGGGTTCTCAATTCCCTCACCTATAAAATACTGTCTCTTTATCATAGAGATATTGAGAGGATTAAATGAGATAACGCATGACAAGAAATTGGCGGACACCACAGAGTAAACATTCAGTAAATGTTAGGTATGATGATAATGATGAAGAAGAAATGGTGATGATATTAATTCTCAAATGAGCATGTATCTACCTGTACCAATTCACTCATTACTATGTCTATATTTCTATCTGTCTGAGCTTTACAAATAGTGTTATGAAGACAAATAGAAAAAGGTCCACTAATAAAATAAAACTAAAAAAAAAAAAAAGAAAAAGGTCCACTTTTCCTAATGAATAAATCCATGACAATTTCCTTTCTAAACTGTTCTGCTGATGACAAAAATCAGAGGAAGACACAAAGCTAGGATCCAGGATTGAGTTACAGTTGTCCTTTCAACCTCAGGCTGAGAATTTGTGTAGGTACTTTCAAAAACTGAAGGCAATAAGCCTATTATATTGCAAACACAAAAGACAAAGGTTTTGTAATAAACACAAATTTAGAAGGGAAGGATTAGCTCATGAGTGACAAAGAGGAATAATTATTCTGTGTGGGATAGGGGTATAAAAGGATTACCACCCACTAGGCCAGCTCCAGAGAATAAATCTCAGAGTTTTCAGCAGCTGCAAGTCTGGTGAACCTGTAAATATTCACGTAATATTTCTAAAGTTAAAGTTAAAACCCACTGTTATACAACAAAAGAATAAACAGCATCACGCCATGGTAGGTGTATCCATCAGAAAACAGTCAGAAAAATTGCTGGAAAAACAGAGCCCATAACAGGCTGTCAAAGAGAAGGAATTTAATATAGGGAACTAGTCATAAGGCTATTAGGAAAGCCAAAAAACCAGAGAGGGAAGAATGAGGACACTTCCCCCTTCCCTGAAGCTTGGGGGACCACAGAGAGGGTACTCAGAAGCCAGAATCAAGGACTGTCTCACACTAGCTAGATCCACACAGAGGTACTGAACATGGAGATATACTGCCCAAAGCAAAAGAAGGGAAAGATATATCCTGGGTTTTCCCTTTCTATCTTTTCCCAAACAGCAATGGTACCTCCAGCTGGGAGAACAGTCATTTAGCAGTCAGTTAACAAGGGAGCCTGGGAACATAGATGTCAAGAGATGGGCATGGAGTAGAACTGAAAGCAGACAAACAATTGACCAGCACAACAGGTAAATGCCAAGGAAATCTACCATATATAAAAAATGTACCACTCCTCTCAGTTAGGGTTAAAGGGGATCCTCAATACAAAACAGATGTCACCAATATTAGTTTTGATCAGGCTACCATTTGGAAATGTCATCAAATTAAGCCAAATGGCACTGCAAAGATTGAAAGACTGCCAATATAACCACATTTCTTTCAACATATGAGAAGACAAAAATGAAACCCCTTTTGGTAGTTCTTTTGCTCCTGGATTTCACGTACAGGTAAGAATTCAGAGGACACACTGGGAAATGTATACAGGATGGTTACCATTTTAATTTGGCTTGGATATCAAAAACTACACAAAAACCATCTAATCATTACCAGATTTCAGTTAAAAGGGTCACTGGAATATTGGAAAGCTAAAAGGATACATTCTGAGAATTAAGGACTGTCCCAAATACCATCCTGTCTTCACTTCTCTCTTTTCACTGCAAGATGTAAAAAGTTTGCAGGACCAGCCCAGAGTCAGATTCACATTAGACTATTTCCCTAGGAAGTCTTCAGAAGAATTGTGTGGGCTTATAAAACTGAGTAAGTTCTAGGGGGAGAAAAATCACGGAATTGTAGACCAACTGAAATCATGTAAACTTGGACAATATAATCTCTGGACAATATAATCTCACTTTCCTTAGACTGTGAAGATCAGATTAGAACATCTCCCCCATCTTCAGGGTGAGTGCAGGGATGTGACCAGTAACTTGCTCAACCCAAACTCTGGAAAGTGTGAGAAGAGAAATCAAAAACACTGATTAAAACCCAGTGTGCATTTTCAGGATATGCAGGAAGTCAAAGAAAACTGGATATTCAAAGCAATCTCCCAAGACTGGAGCCACTGCCCCTCTTTCCGGGTTGCCTTTTTTCTTAGCTCACACTCACAAAGCAATATATCCTTCCAGAGTTAACAGAAACTAAACAAAGCTGATACCAATGGAGGCAGAGCCATCACCTCAAATTTTTTCCACCAACCAATCAATATAAAAAGAGGCACCATGGAACATCCGGGGGATGCAGTCAGTTAAGCATCCAGATTCTTGGTTTTGGCTCAGGTTGTGCTCTCAGCGTCATGAGATCAAACCTCACACTGGGCTCCTCACACTGGGCTCCGCACTCAGCATGAAATCTTAAGTTTCTCTCTCCCACTGCCTCTACCCCTTTCCCCAATGTGCGCACTCTGTTTCTCTCTCTGTTTCTCTCTCTCTCAAATAAATAAATAAATAAGAAAAAAGAGGCACTGTGATAAAACAATGCGTAATGGAAGAATGTATTTTTCCCATTAATTTCTTTAATATTTTTATTGATAAGTGTCAATTTCTTTTTTTTTTTAAAGATTTTACTTATTTATTTGACAAACAGGATCACAAGTAGGCAGAGAGGCAGGCAGAGAGAGAGAGGAGGAAGCAGGCTCCCCGCCGAGCAGAGAGCCCGATGCGGGGCTCAATCCCAGGACCCTGGGATCATGACCTGAGCCGAAGGCAGAGGCTTTAACCCACTGAGCCACCCAGGCGCCCCATAAGTGTCAACTTCTTACAAAGAAGTTGTGAAGACAAGATAAAAGGGAATATAACAAGAGTGCTCACATTATGCTGAGGCCGGACTAAATTACCACCCATACTAAGTGTCTATTGAGAGTCAATAAAATGTGGGAGAAAATGTGACTATAAACCATTTATAATGTGCTTCTGCTACCATCACTCCAGCCTGCCTAAGCGACCTTAAAAGTCTAAAAGAGAATTCAGACCAATAAAGCAAAAGACAAGACAGAGCTTATTTCCTGTTGGTCTTGAGGTACAAGTCCTACCCAGCTTTTAGAGTCTAAAGTTAGTGTTCTCACCATATGCTGCTTTAAATAGAAGCCCATGTAGTCACCTGTGTAAATGGCTTACCAACCCAAAAATCTTGCTTTTTTTACACACAGAAACATAACGGTGTTGTACTGGCTTAACTTGTTTGACCCGAATGCAGATTTTAATCATCCTGAGTAACAAGGTGAAAAAGTGATTATTTGCAGTATCGGTACATTTTCAGATACACCAGTATATACACTCCTAGAGATCCTATGTGCCATACACACACACACACACACACACACACACACACACACACACACAGGCATGCACATATGCACACACATGGGAACATACACACTTTCCAAGAACAGAAAGGACAGAGAGAAAATCTTTGGTTGAAGAATAAGAGGCAAAATCTATTCTCACGAATTGCCAGATTGACTTCGTTAGCTAGGCACAGAGGAGGGCTTTGAATGTGGAACTTGGGCATTTCCCTCTCACTGTTCCCGTCACGTAGCCCTGACTGGAGACTCGAGGTGAGAGAAGTCACCAAAGAGGAACTCCACGGCCCTTTGCCAAGGGGCCACCTTCAAGGTGAGAACAGGCAAGAGCCTGATACCCTCCACGTTTGCCCAGTGACGAGGTAACTGTACTTGGAAAGGCACTTCGGGGGAAAACAAGCATGACGAGATTCTTAAAAATAGCATGTTACCTGATGTGGCTGTGAACTGGACCATCTGCTATAGGAAGGAGCCCCCGAAGACTTGCTGGCCGAGGGTCTCTGAAAAAGGGAAAGGGGGGGGGGAGATTTCATGTTGTCACACAAACTGAATCACTTTCTATTTCTCTAAACAAATTATTTATTCAGTGTCTACAGCTCCAAAAATTAATGTAGTCTTAGACTGTCTCAATTTACTCTCTGTTTCATTTCTTTTAAAACACATTCTCCTCAGTGAGTATAATAATACAAACACCAGAGCCAAAACATCTGGATCCAACTCACAGTGTGTACTCATTGTTTGACCTGGTGCAACTCATCCAAATTCTCTCTGTCTCTACTTTCTCTTCAGTGAGACTAGAATAATAATTTTTATGTCACGGGATTCTTGAGGGGATCAAATTTTGTATGGTAAGGTGCTGTACACATAGAAGCCTTAATTCAACAAGCAGAAAATAAGGCACATTATTATAAGTTTCCACATGAAACCAAACTGGTATACAGATATCCACATTAATAAATGAGGTCATTTGAGTCTCTTAGTATAAAGAGATCATTCATCTTGGCAAAGACCTGACCGTACCATTGTTACCAGTTCTCCGGGCTTGTAAAAATGCCATAAATTCACTGTAGATTATCTCATCCACAGCCATTCTTAACACCATTTGGTGGGGGGGGGGGGTGGACTTCTACCAGAGAGGCTCAAAAAAACAAAACAAAACAAAATAAAACAAAACTGCATACGCACATCCTCGGCATTTCCTCCCTCCACTCCAATGAGATAAAATGTAATTTTAGAGGGGCAGGAGGTAACAGAGTTCTGGGAAACCCTTTGCTTTTCTGGTAAAAGGGAAAAGATAATGCTTTGACCTTCACCATTACTTCTTCTTTCTCTCTAAATACAGATATGGTGCATGGAGCTGAAGCCACCATTCTGTGACCAAGAGGAAAAAAGGCCAAGAGAAGAACAGAGATGTTAACCCTAAATGGTCGTCTTATGCAGTTTAACCACAGCTTCAGGCTGCTACTCTTGCAGCCTGAACCTTCTTGGGTAATTGACTATACTCACATTTTCTACCCCTTGCAGAAAGTTGTGGATACTTCATGGTAGAGGCACGAAGATGTGGAAGTGATTGGCATGTTTGGAGAATGACCAGTAGACCACTACAGTACTGCCAACTCCTATACTCCCCATCACGGCATTCCATCTGCCTTTCAGGACCCCTGTGCAATTCTGTGCTGGCCTTTGCTGTTCCTGACAGCTTTCCTGAATCTCTGCCACGGGAAGCTGGTATGCTAGCTAAACGCTGTGTTCTGCCTGCTCGATTCAACTCTCCTTTCACATATGCCCATTTGAGGAGGCAGACATGGGATCAGCTCCCCTGCCCCACTGAGGCTGATGGGATTGGACGCTATAGCACAGTATAAGAAGCGTTTCTGATTTCAACTTGGGTAAAGGGAGAACTATCAAGGAAGTAGCTGGAAATTAAACTAAAAGCTTAATCATATTCCCTCAATGAGAAGCAGTAGCAATGAATTTCAAACATATCTAACTTTACCAGTGCATGACCATGTACCTTCTCTTAATGCCATTTTCCTAATTGTGAAATAAGGATAATCTAGATAGTCCCCATGCTCCCTCCTTATCCAGCCCCAAATCTAGTCAATTAAACGATGCTATGCTTTACTGATTATAGTGGCAACACTGGACTTCCATGGAAAGATTCGATTCCTCTCAATGTTATGCGCCTAAAATACCAAAGAAACATCTGAAACCTCTGTTACCTAGAAAATGCTAGTGATCCAGAATTAGCCCATTGCCTGAATATTGTAGCAGATCCCGGGTTCTCTGCATTTTTAGGAAGGGGCCATTGGCTGATTTTCTACCCCAATGGTTTGGGCTTCAGTAGAATCTCTTCAAGTCTCCTTAAGTCATAACCTTTAGGAATTTACCATCAGATTAATTTTTGAGACATCATATGTTGAGAATGTAACTTATCATAGTTTCAAGCCATAATAGAGGTTTCTAAAATTAAACCATAATTTTTATACTATTATCAGGAAAATAAAGCTTTATAGGTTATTTTAATTGAGATATAATTGACAAATAATATTATATAAGTTTAAGCCATCAGAGTTGATTTGATATACCTACATTTTACAATATGGTTATCACCCTACTGTATATTGTACATTTTATATAAAACATGTATATTATATATAACATATACCTCTTCTTTATCCACTCATCTGTTGACAGACCCTTAAGTTATTTCCATATCTTGGTTATTATATATAATGCTGCCAGAAACACCAAGTGCAGATATCTCTTTGATATCTTGTTTTCTTTTTTTTAATATCATACAGTAGTTCTATTTTTTCCATTTTTTGAGGAACCTTCATACTGTTTTCCATAGTGACTGCACCAGTCCCACCAAGAGTGTGCACAAGGGTGCCCATTCCTCCACATCCCTATGAACACTTGTTATCTCTTCTTGAGAGCTTTGATTTTTTTTTAATCAAAATAAAATGATGGTAATCGAATTCAAGACTTGAGCACTAACATTCAAAAAAATATTTTAAAGAAAAGTGAGATGTGTGACCTACAGCGTCTGAACCAAATTATTAAGGAACCTTGAAGCGGGAAGGACAGAAAATGGGTTTCTGTGGATTTGAATGCAATAAAAACCCAATGTGAAACACACAGCTCTCCCTTCTTGAAAGGTGTCAAGATACTTCCATGCCCATGCTTAACTTTCTCCTAAAGGTCACACTACACTTCAGCACACAAGTATAATTAACTGTATGATGGTAATTGCAGTCTATTGTGATTCACACACTTCATCCTTTCTAGTGCTAAGGATAAATGTAAAAGGCCAGAGAAACAACAAAATAACTGGTCAATATTAATTACAATTTTAAAGACATGGCCATGTCCCAAATTGTAGCATAGCTTCTGATGGATGTGACTATATTCAAAAATCAGTTTCATAGCACAAAACACAATATCTGGTTTGATATCTTTTTGAATAAACTAGCCATAAGGTGTGGTTTGGATTTCAGTCTGGACGAAAATAAACTCACAGATAAATAATTGATCATACCCTCCATCTCCCCCTCTTAGTGCCCTTAGCAACCAGTGGTTAATCAAAGGGCAGTATCCAGATCAGAATAATGAGGCAAGCTGGTTTAAAATGTAAATTCATTGACCCCAGGAATTTACAAATCTCTGGAAGAGAGATCCAGCAATTTGCATTTTTAAGAGGTTCTTCAAGTGATTCGCATTTAATCTTGGAAGCAAGGAAACATCCCAGAATATTCCCAGCACACACTTCTACTGCTACATGCATCCACTGAATAAGGATGATGATGAGTAGAGGTATGAAGACCCAAGGATATTATTGATAGTAGTTTTCTCTAAACAGAAAAAAATGAACTCTCAAACTCCAGAGAAATATCTCTGGAAATTGTGGGAAGACGCTTGAGGAAAAAGAATCTGATTTTTAATCTACTGATATAGATTGAACGTTGAACCACCACAGCCCAATTAAATGGCTGGGTAAGGGTTGCAGTTTAGATATCCAACTCCTGTCCTTGGAAAACCTTCCCTGAATACCAAGAACTACTGATGTTTCCAGCACATCGGCACTTACATCTTAGCAAAACTTCTGTTACACTCACTTGTAATTGCCTTCTAAATGCAGTTTCCTCTTGTAGAGTGTACATTCCACAAGGTTATAAGGGAGGACAGGAGAGAGTTGGGGCTGGGTCTTATTTACTCAAATAACTAGGCATGCTTGTACCAGAGATATACTAAGTGCTCAGTAAACATCAAATTAATTAATAGGTTTAGCAGGCTTAATCCTATTTTAGCAAGTTTAGCGAGTACGAACAGGGGACTATGACAATGGGACCAACACGCCTGAGGACAAATGCAGTAAAAACTGGTCAAATTCCAGAGCCTCAGTGGCTGCTATAATATCTTAGGAAGTCTGGCCCAGACTTCAGAATATTAGGGTAAAGAGTTCCCTAATGTGGCTTCATAGAAAATACCAACTGTTAAAGTCAATAGGGCAAGAAATCAGGGAAATGACAGACATCGCACAGAGGTAGAGAGCATTGGTGAACGGCTACATGTGATTCCATAGGAAATGTCTCCAGAAGGCTGTGAGGTAACTGCCAAAGGACTAGATGATCTACAAAAACAGAGAGAGGCTGGAATTCGAAGACATATTGAGGCAAAAATACCCCAGTTTGCGTCTTCTCTCTCTCCCTTCCCCAGGCTGTGGGTCCCGAGCAGATCCAAGTTACTTATATCAGAGAAGAAAGCTCAGGAGGAGGAGGATGTAAAACTATTTAGTGACAAAAGCACACAGAGTGTGCTATTCAACAAAGGCAGGGAAGTACTATGCGGAAACCTGGAAGACAGACCAAATTCAATGGCAGCTCATAAGTGAGGAAGGTTGCCAGATGCTGTAGCCAGCCGGCCGCCCTGCTTTGTCCACAACTGTCCTTCGCTTGGCCAGCTTCCTCCAAGTCTAATTGCCCATCAGCGTAAGACAAGGAACTTTGGGAATGTGTACATTTTTCAGTAGCTAGAGTTCTTCCTGCATTTGGCCTGGAGCATATTTGAAGAACGAGAAATGAAGAACCAATAAATAGTGTTAGAAGGTGCCAATTAGACATCTGCGTTTAACATCGTGGCACAAAAAGTCATTGACAAATACAATCCAGGAACCAACATGGGTTCAGACAGACTGAACTCTGGATGACAGACATGACTTTTGGGATTTTAATTTCAGATGGAAAACCATGTTTCCAACCCCAGTGAGATGAATCATGCAAGAAACAAGACCAAACAGCAAAGGACCTAGACAGCAGTAACACTTTTAATAAGTAAGGTAGGAAGAGATGACTCAAAAACCTTCCCAGGGCAAGAAACTTTGTAAAGAATAAGTGGTAAAGGCTCTACCCACATGTACCTTCATAAGGAGCTACCAAAAAAAAAAAAAAAAAGAAAGAAAGAAAGAAAGAAAGAAAGAAAAAGAAAAAAGAACCCACAC